ATATTTATATTCTAAAATGGATGACCATATGTAAGTATCAAACAAAGGTCTAAATTTGGTAGGACCCCACTAGCTTTATTTTCCAAATCCTATAAACATAAAGTCTGAAAGTAAAGCTAGACACCTTCCAACTGACATTCCAATATCTTCCGATGCTTGCTTCTTTGTTGCAAGTATTGCTACATCCAAGGTCTCCAGATCTCTTCCTGGCTCACGGTAGGCCACTCCAACCTGAGCATCTGCCAATGTGTGTTATTCCCCAAAACCAGCCTCTATCCATCAGAGCTCCACGGTGTGTGAACAGTTTCTTGGTTTACACACTGTTCTTAGTGTCATTTTCTGTGTATTCAATTATCCATAGTCATATATTTCTTCCTTCCTTTGGCATCCTATGTGAGTCTAAGCACTTACCGTGCAGTGGGTAAAAAAACATAGAAAAATAAATAGACAAATAAATAAATAGCCTAATATTCTTGGGACAGACTAAGGCTTAAAGACACCACAGTACGGAATGGATTAGAATTGAGGTCTCCATATGTCATATTGATAGCTTTCTTCATTCTTATTTACTGCCTTTTATATTTCTAAAGCTTTTTTTTACATCTTAAAAGTATATCTGTTCATTTTTAATTCTTCTGTGATCTTCTAGATGCATGGTAGGAGGCAGTGTTGCTGAACTAGGAGTATTCCCCAAGATAATTTTATTTGTATGTGTGTTATATTTCTGTCACTTTCTGAACATAACAACATGCCCTATAATCTTCTTAAGACAATATGCAAAACTCTTATTTTTAAACAAAAAGCATTCTTATTCAAATAATTTACTTGGAATATTTATTAACTCTTGTTAACATTTTAACTCTTGCTAAAATAGAAAAATTTAAAATCTTATATTAGAATAAGAATTAAAGAGAAACAATTTTATTATAACTTAGGATTATTCATTCTTAGTCAACCTACCTCAATATTGCCATCATTCATTTGTTAGCACATCCCCACAACACTGTTATGGTCATTCACTTATTATTATACACCTATTATAATGACTCATTATTATCACACCTTGCTATAATAATCATTCATCATTATTATCCCATTTCACTATTATGACCATTGTCATGTCACCTATTATCCAATTAATAAATAAGATCTCTACTATTATGGAGGTCATCAAATGCTTTCTTATTGATTCAAGGCCTACTTGATAGAATTGAACTCATATCTGGTACTGTAAACCTAGCCAAAAACTCGTGGTTGATAGGTCATCAGCCTTAGAGGGAAACCTACTATTATTATTTTGAGACATGGTATCAAATTGCCTTCTCAACACTTACTTTGGGGGGGGGGGGATGTTATAATGCTGTTGGCCAGTTACTAGTTTCTTATTGGCTAGCTCTGTCTTAGATATTAATCTATTTCTATTAATAGAAATGAGATTGATGACTACCTTATATGCCATCTTACAGTCTTCATCTAGTAAATGATGGAAGCAGAAGCAGACACCCACAGCTAAACACTGAGCTGAACTCCTGGGATCCAGTTGTAGAGAGGGAGGAGTGATGAACAAAGGGGTCAAGAACAGACTGCAGAAACTGCTGACCTGAACAAGAGGGAGCTCATGGACCCCCAAACTGATACCTGGGAAACCAGCATAAGACTGCCCCAGACCCCCTGAATATGGGTGTTAGTTAGGAGGACGAGGCAATCTATGGGGCCTCTGATAATGGATTCGTATTTATCCCTAGTATATGAATGGACTTCGGAAGCCCATTCCACATAGATACTCCAATACTAAGAGGTTAGCCCTAAAAACATACATACGAGCAACACTAAATGGTCTCAGAAGGTTGTAGTTACATATTTATTCATTTATAAGCATGTATGTAATAATAATAATTAAAGAAAATAAGTCATGAATTTGAGGGGGAGCAGAGAGGGATACAGCCCAGAAGGGATTAGATGGAGGAAAGGGGGAAGGTAATGTAGATATCGTACACAAACATGAAATTTTAAAAACATTTTTTAATTGGCTCAGAGTGACCCACAGCCAAGCACTGGGCTGAGTTTCTGGATACAGTTGAAGAGAGGGAGTAGGGATCACATGAACAAGGGGAGGGGCTGTGAAGAGCATGATGGTGAAAACCAGAGAAAGCTGACCTGAGCTAATGGGCGCTTATGAACTATGAACTGACTCAACTAGGCCCTCTGTTTGTGGGTGACAGTTATGTGGCTTGATTTGTTTGAGGGGACAGCAGTGGCAGCAGGACTTATCCCAGGTGCATGAATTGACTTTGTGGAGCCCATTCTCTGTGGTGGGATGTCTTGCTCAGCCTTGATGCAGGAGGGGAAGGGCTTGGTGCTTCCTCAACTTGGTATGCCAGACTTTGTTGACTCTCCAAGGAAGGCCTTACCCCCTCTGAGGAGTGCATGGAGGGTAGTAAGGTGGAAAGTGGGGTGGGAGAAGGGGAAGGAGAGGGAGCTAGGATTGGTATATAAAATGAAAAATAAATTTAAAAATAAGTTGGCTCAGTGGGTAGAAGTCCTTGCCTCCTACCTGATGACCTGAGTTCTATCCCTGGGAACCACATGGTAGAAGGAGAAAAACAACTTTTACCAGTTACCCTCTGACCCCCCACATGAGTCATGGCACATTGGGACATGTGCACACAGATATAAATAAATATAACAAAAATTTTAATTCCTTTACACCTTTATTTTCTCCTGATATTGGGCCCAGTAAGGTACTTTGAAAACATAAAGTGGCTTTGGTTTCACTGGCGTCCTAGGTAAAGGACAAATTTATTTTCCTAAGTCATGCTTTCCATTGTGAGTCAATCTACAAACTGCATGAACTTCAGCTATCTGTCATCATTCTCCTGGGTGTTTGGAGGACAGACTATAATGTAGGATTTAGATCTTGACCTTCAGTACCATATCATCAGGCTGGAGAAAGCAAAAATGTGCTATAATAAATGCAGAAATTATTACCATGGCATCTTGCTGTGTGAGCCTGCTCTAAGCAAAGAGGTCACAAGAGTCACTTCTGGGAGGTTGTGGTTGAGAGATCAAGACTGAGAGGAGAAACACTGAAAGAAGACCTTTCACACCTTACGAAGGTCTAGATTTTAAATGACAGAAATTAATTGTTAGCTTTTGGAGGCTAAAATACAACAGGGCATAATGAGTAACAGCTGTGAGTCAGTATTAGGGAGCACAGGGTTTAGAAGCTATTGCAAAAGCCCCGGTAAGACATCTTAAGGCCAAGTTGGAAGACCCATGGAGGGTTTCAGATATTCTGGTACTGGAATTGTCAAGTTGTTGCCCACTGTGTGGGTGCTAGGAATAAAGTCTGGGTCCTCTGCAGAATTCTAGGTGCTCTTAACTACTGGGCCATCTCTCTAGCTCCTAATGCTATGTATATTTAGAATAATAATAGTATTGGGTTCTCCCCTAGGGCCTATGACCTATCTAACCAGGTATTTGACCCAATTAACAATGGTAGGAATGTGTTCTGTCTTATGGAAGAGGCCTTATATCATGTGACAGCATGAACAAGACCCACATAAGCTCAAGGTATACAAAGTTCCCAACTTGGATGTGGAAGTGAGAGGGGGAAGGCACAAATTCTCATCACTAATGAGTAACCATTGGTATGTGGTAGTTGCTGGGAGAGGCAGAGTCCACTTTCTTTCATCACTAGACCCTTGGTAGGTCAACTACACTCCAGGGCCATTCCCAAGACTAAATGGGCAACATAAACTGGACTTGCTGAGAAGAAAATAAAAGAAGAAAACTCAAAGTTGGGTGAATAGGGTGGTGAGGAAAGAGAGAGTGAACATGGAAGGAGTTGGGAGAGGGGATGAATGTGATAAAAATATAATGTGTGAAATTCTTAAAGACTTAATAAAATATTTTTAAGTGTGAGTGTAAAGGAATCCAGCCAGTACTCTAGTACTCCACAGAACCATTAGATATTTGACTCTCAAGGATGATAGTAGATACAGTTTTACTGAAAGCCATTTAACTGGGAAATAACCTCAGATGCCTCCCCTTCCTTGGACAGCTGATAAACACACCAGTAGGCTTAGTCACACTTGGCTTCTTGGCCAGAAAATGGCTGACAGAGTAAGTGTGAGAAACACACTACAACTCAAGTCTACTGACAGCATCTGCAAGTCCCAAGTTCCAGTGCCCAACCACCAGGAGAAGGCAATCTAATCCTTCAAGTTTCCCTTAATAATCATCCCATATTAACAAATTATCTGTGTAGACAGATTAGAGATGTATTTTATTATTAAAAATAAGTACTACTACTTCTTATATTTTGGGTTGTGAGGCTAGCCTTTAGCAGCTGAGCCATCTCTCCAGCCCTGTACTAATACTTCTTGATAGTGCTTTTCATAAAATGAAAATGTGTCATACTTTAGTAGACATGTTGTGAGAATGTGCTCATGCACTGGCAAGTAAGTGTGTTGGTCTCACTCATGAGTTAGGAAGTGAGTGAGGTTGGGAGAGAAAACCTCTAATAATGTCTCTCAGCAATGGAAGGACTCTTTGACTGCTTCTAGGATATCAAACACCAATTTGACTTCACCTTTAATCTATTTTTTAAAACATAATTCTTTAAAAAAAATACATTAGCACAAATATAGATTATCTATTAAGGAGACCAAACAATTGTTATTTATTAACATTTTAGATAAAACATTTGAATAGTTAAGTTAAAATATACAAAATAATTCATCTCATTTCATGATTCATATTATAATTTTCTTCCATCTATATTTAATGTAGTTTTTATTAATGACTTACAAGATATTTTATCTAACTTTGTCCTAGTCCAACTACATTCTACCTTGACCTGTACTATCTAATTTCTTCCCATCCTTAAATGAAACTTGAAAGATTTACTCCAACTGTGTACATTGAGCTTCCATTATGAGAATGCCAAGAACACATGTAAGAATAGCAAGACATTTTGATAGCCTTGTCCCATCTTCTCACACTAGATGCCTCTTTCCTGCCAGCACCCTCTTCAGGGCACCCTGTACATCTGGATTCCAGAGGCTATAGATCATTGGGTTCAGCATGGGGCTGAGGATAGTATTGAGGATCCCAATGCCTTTGTCTGAGGCTGAGAAAGAACCCAGACGCATGTAACTGAAGTAGCCAGTTCCATAAAAGATATAGACCACAGTGAGGTGGGAGCCACATGTGGAAAATGCCTTCTTCCTCCCCTCTGCAGAGCGAATCCTTAGTACTTCAGCTGCAACGTGGGCATAGGACATTGAAATAAGGATCATGGGGACTACTCCCATGAAAGTGACTCCAATGAAAAGCAGCTGCCCACTGAGGTAGATGCTGGAGCAGGAGAGCTGGAAAGGGGGTGGTAGGTCACAGTAGAAGTGGTTGGCCACATTAGGGCCACAGAAGTCCAGCACAGACACAGCCACTGTGTGAGTCAGAGCATTAATGAAGGAGATGGTACAGCAAATGCCCACCAGTGTACTCTGTACTTCACGGCTCATACGGATGCTGTAGGTGAGGGGTTGGCAGATGGCCAGGTAGTGGTCATAGGCCATGGCTGTCAAGAGATGACAGTCCACACCTGCCAAGAGGTGGAAAAAGAAGAGCTGTGAAATGCAGGCAGTGTAGGGAACTCTACATTGGTGAGCCAGGAGACACACCAGTGACACTGATGCACCTGATGTCCAACGGAGATAGGTTTCTCGGGAAGTAGTACATAGGAGTGTGGAGTTTGGGTTCCACATAGATAGCAGCCAAAATACTAAAATTGCCCCCAACAATGACAATATAGGCAAAGAAAAAGACAACAAAAAGAATGATTTGCAGTCTTACATTTCCTGTTAGTCCAAGAAGGACAAATTCAATAACAGTTGTCCTGTTTCCCCAGACACCTGATTCCATAGGTCACTGCTGAGAGCTGGAGGGCAGAGGGAGGAAAGGTTAGATATTACAAATAGTGAATAAGCAGCACAAATGAGCATGCAATCTATAGGGTGCTAATCTGGTAAGTGCAGAGCACCTATGTATTAAAAAGGATATCTGCCTAGAGTTTACCCATCTTCTGAAGGCTCCTACTGACTAAATAATCAACCTTTTATCTCCTGGACCAGGGAGAGAGAAAGAGAATGCTGGGGAAAGGGCTTGTTGAGTGGCTACTTACTAACATGATATGCAAGTATTTTAATACTGTATCTATTATACTTGTATCGGTATATGGCAACTGACTAGCATCTCTCACTGACTCAGTGAATACATGAATATATAAAGTACTAGAAAGTACACTGTCAGGGTAATAACAATATAAGATAAAAAAAGTAATAAGAAAGTCCTATTAACTCAAAATAGACATAAAAAATTTGAAGGAGGAGAAAAGCAAGAGGTGAGACAAAGTATAGAAATACACAGAGATTAAAGGCTAAAGCTGTGATCCAAATGAAAGAAAATATTGATATTTTAGTGTACTGTCTATAGTTATTTTTATTTAACTTCATTAAATTCTATGAACTGCTGTGCCTCTGTGTAATCAGGACATTGCTGCCTAGAAAGATTAAATAAGCACCCTTGTGTCATAATCCTCCTGAGAGCTAGCACAAACTCAGGACCATCTACCAAGCCCACAAGTTTACATTGTATTATTTGTGCATGTGTTCTACAGAGGCTTTGTGTCTCATGTGGTATATAATAGAAAGAGAAATGGTATTCTAAAACTTTCAGTTTTAGCATCCATACAACTATTCAAAGGATTCAGGCAAGGTCCCTTCCACTTACCCTTCATTAAGAATGTTAGGTGTTAGGACCTGTGTGCTGATGATGGAACTAACAGAATGGGTATGACTTGTGAGATAGAGAAGGTTAAAGGATGGTCCCAAAGCCTTTGGCTGAGCAATTAAAAAGATGGAGTTGACACTAAGTGTTATGGGAAAACATTATTATGCACCTGTGTGAGGGAAGATCAAGAGTTTTTGAAAGGCAGAGGGAAAGTTTAAGTCCTAGCAGATATTTTACTGGTTTCTATCCTACCATATATGGTGGCAATCCTAAAATGGATGGACAGTTGAGGGAAACCACAAATCAAAAGTCCTTCAGTTGTGGCTATAGTGGATAGTTCTGGAGAGGTTCCTTTGCATATTCCTGCTCCTAGACCATTGCCTGCTGGGCCACTCTCTCCCTGTAACTATACTTTCATTTTTTTTTAATCAAAAACAATGTCCCAAATCTCATTACAGAAATGGGCCAGTTCAGACATCCTCTCCACTGTTGCTAGGAGTCTTAGCCGGGGTCATCCCTATGTTGGAATGCAATGCTCAGCCTTAATACACAGGAGAGGGGCTTGGCCCTGCCCCAACCTGTTGTGCCAGACTTTGTAGACTCCTCATAGGAGCCCTTATCCATGAGGAGGAATGAGCTGGGGGTGGGGTAGGTGGGTGAGGGGGTCAGGAGGAGGGGTGGGAAGGAGAACTGTGATTAGAATGTAAAATTAAATTTAAAAGAATAAATAAGTTTTTAAAAAACACTGTCTCCTTCAACACATCAAAAAATCTAACCCTTGGGAATCAACCTTTGGCTATTGTTCCATGACTTCAAGGAAATTCTTCTTACATGGCTGAGTTTTCACTCCTGTGGCATCATAGACAATTAAACTGATCATTCCAGTGCTCAAGCAGCAGCACAGAATGACCCATGCAAAACCCATAACTCCACATAAAGAGCATAGATTATGCTAATGGGTTAATAGGGAGTGTGGTCTCCTGGAGCTCCACCATTCCAATCACCTCCACCTTGTTTTCTATGAAAATCACTGGCAATCTATGAGAAAGATGAAGCTCACAAAAAGTACTTTCTCAAGATCACACATGTCAGAATTTGTTCTGAATACAGACTACTCTTTTTCTCCCAACTCCAGCTGACACCTAAGGCCCCTGCCATTAATACAGATATGTATGTATATGTGTAGATTTTTCTCTTCCCTCCAAGTCACTCAGGGTAGAAAAGATCATCATTATATATCACTGCCTCTTCCTGAATTTATCATCATTTGATACTTTCCTCACATATAGACAGTAAAAAGGCCACCTGAGGCCCATGAACATGCTCTCTCATATCCTTACTTGGCAAGGACAGAAAATAGGATGGCTGGAGTGATGAGGAGGACCATGAGGTATTTACCTCCTGACAGAACCTAATGTGGTTCTTGCAAAGAGTTGAGTAACTACTAAGTTATTGAGTAGTGATCAATATCCAGAGCTTATAAAAAATGAGCTGACAGTGTGCCTTGGCATTCTCTCCATTTGGGAGCTAATCAGCACCCAGAGACCCTAATAATATAACTCCCCAAGGATTTCAAAGAAGCCATAAGAAAACAAAAAAAAACTAAAAAGAAAAAGAAAAAAAAACCAACCTCAATCCACAAGGGTTTCTCTTCACCACCTAACAAGCATTCTATTCATGACATCATCACAGCCTCATAATCATATCAAAAAGGAGGAAAGCTATCACAAATTCATAATGAAGTGATGGAAAGTCATTCAAAATTATTTAAAATACTCTACTAGACCTTGCAAACATTTTCCAGATTTCATCCATGCTAAATTCTAGGATTTGTTCTAACACTGACAAGAAACTGTATTCTATTGCCCTTCAAGTGTTTTATCTATAAAATAAATCATAATTATGATCCTTACCCTGTAGGCTGATCTGAAATCCAAATAAGATAAAAATTGTTGCTTGTGAATTGGGAACTATGCATAGAATAGTGCTGAACATTCAGGATACTAGTAAGCATTAGGTGAATGAATAATTAAAATCAATAGATAAATAAATGATAGATATGAAAATGATTAGGTATATGATTGATACCTACACATAGATAAAGGATGTATAGATAGACAGACAGACAGACAGACAGACAGACAGATTTAAACCTTGCATTTACTACTGTTGGATAGCCCTGGATTATAGTGCTTAAATTTCCCCTTGACTCGATTAGAGGTCAATGCCTAAATTTTATAATGAACACATCAAGACTGCTGTTTCAATTAAACTGTTTTATTATAATTTTCTTTATAAGTTTCTGGAGGGCAGGAACAATAAGTAGAAATTTTAAGCGATCCAGTGAATCAGCTTTTCAACAAGATTGTTTGTTGACAAGGAAAATGATGGGAGCGGTAACAGTGACGGGAGACAATGCTCACATGTTACACTCACCCTGTTCCCCTCAGTAAACACTGATTTTTCTTAATCAACACACATATCACTTTGTAGAAAATCAAGCATCTCCCTTGCTCCTGTTGCATTTTTCATGGCCTTGAGTCTCACTCTATGGAGAATCACTTCGTTCTTCAGCATCTAAACACAATCCCCTATTGCTGGTGTTTTCCCAGCAGCACTGTAACACGCAGTCCTCTTATGTTCAAATGAACTGCTAAAAATCCAAGTCTCTCTTAACGTGCTTCTCCTTTGGCCCCATCCTTGCACTGTGTTTGACCCTTTTCCAAGTCTTCTCTGGAAATATGTCCTCATCTGCTGTGTTCATTTTCCGACTTCCATTCCCTGGTCCTTCCCTCTGTATTTATCTGTTCCCCACCAGGAAAAATCACATAGTACCTGAAATTACTTCCTTACTAATAAGATGGCAGATGGCCACTTGCCTTTAACACATGTGACTCAATAGCCATCTTCTTCATCAAGAGGTTATGAGCACTCCAAGATTTACAAGAATAAAGATGAGCAACTTTATATTTTTCATATAAAATATTTTCTCATACTATTCTTTAAACAGCAGATTTAATTTGCTAGTGCTTAATTTCAAATGAGGGAGCAATAAGTTATAATGTTTATCATTTAAATAGAAATAATAATTGGGAACATCACTTTGTTCAATAATTTCTGAGTGTCAATCTAGCCAAATGTCTTTAAGTGCCATAGAGTTCATGTCCTTTGATGCAGAGTCCCTCCTCACAGGTTTCTGTCTTCTTAGAGTTCATATCCTTTGACTAAGGGACCTCATCGTGGGTTTCTGTCTCCAGCCACTGGAAGAGTGTGCACAGATGAACACAAAGGAAGCAAATTCCATCTTGCCATGTGGCCCAGATTATTTGAACCAACAGACTCACTAATAATGGATGTTTAAATATATTTCATCCCATCTAATGAAAGGAATACTATGCAAGTACAGGAAGAGATTGCTATGATCTACATTTAACATCATGGAGAGATATTCACCTGTATTATCAAGTCCACCTATATGTGGTGAATTTATAGAGTTTTAGGTATAAAACAAATCTAATCTTTACAAGTATATATCATGCACAGAAATATTTTAATAATTATATATTAACTGTCCATAGAGCTATCTACAAATGGTAAACCTAAGGGTGACTTCTATTTTATTCTTTCTGTACTTATTTATTTCTCATATATTTACATAAATGTGTATGCATGCCCACATGTATGCTTGTTTACATGTGTATGGAGGTTCAAAGTTGACAGTGGATGTCTACCTCAATTACTTTCCATCTCATTTTCTGAGGTAGGGTCCCTCACTAAATCAAGATTCCACTCCAGCTTGATCTGAGGATCCCCTGTCTCTGCCTTCTGAGAGCTTGAATTATAGGCAGCCACCACATCTGTTTGTTGTTTGTGTGAGTGCTGGGGGTCTGAACCCAGTTCTCATGCTTGTATAGAAAGTGCTTTATCCACTGACCCATCTCTCTAGCCCCTCTAACATTTTAGTAGGCATGCACTTTATTGTGTTATAGAAACAACCATCTAAAGCTATGAATTGAGACACCTTCCTCCTCAAGATGACATGGAGGGAACAGTTACTTTCATGTTCAAGTCAGAGGCACCAAAAATTTACATTCAATCAGCAAGATTTTCACAGATGTGACAAACCACTTTTC